CATCTCATTTTTTTCTTCACAAAATACATATGTATCTAAATCACTAATTGTAAATTCTAGAGTGGTATGTTGGGATGTTTTTGACTGTAATAACAGAATAACTAAACGATGAGGGTTTTATCATCTCACATAACAAGATAGAGGAGATTTCAGGGGTGCTCTGCTCAGTGATGCCATTTCATCAGGGTCCCTTGTGCTTTCCATGTTTTCACTTTGACATCCTCAGCATGTTGGTTTCCCTCATGACCTCTGGATGACTGCAGCACTTCTGTGTATGCTATACAAACAATATCTAAAGACAGAAAAGTAATTTCTCTTTCAGCATCTGTAGAAAGCATTACTTTTCCTGACTGCTTCCTGGTAGACTTTCCCTTTTGTCCCGTTGGTTGAAATTTGGTCACTTGAATTGGCAAGAGAAATAGAACAGCCGTGGTTGGCTTGGACCAATCAAGAATAGGTAGCCTAACAGCATGATCACCTGAATTCAACTGGAGGTCTAATGCTGTGAAAAACATGGGGGCTGTGGGCGGGATAAGGAACAAACAAGAGCTGCCACAGGTACTGTTCATGTGTCTTTGGCCTGCCCATCTGGAAAGTTATTGGACGTCAGTAATACTTTATTCATTGATTCACTCATTCATGTAATAGACATTAACTGAATGCTTACTTTGTGCCTGGTATCGTGCTCAGCATTGGGGAAGTAGACATGGTCCTTGCCCTTAGGGGGTGGCTGGCCTATAGTCCAATGGAATAGGGTAGCTGAGGTAAAGTGGGGGAGGATAGAGTTCTGNTTCTCTCAGGATCTGGTACCTGTGTGGTCATCAGGACCTTCTCCATTTATCTTTCTGCTTTGCAGTCCTTATCTTGTGGCTTTATTCTCAAGGCCATCTCATGTTTGCAAAGAAGGTCCTTGCAGCTCTATCCTTGGTATTCACATTCCAGGCAGGAGGATAAAGGAAGTTAAAATGTAAGGGCAAAGGGACCCATGTCTCAGTGAAGCCATTCCCCTTTCAATACTTTTCCCATAGCCCCACCCAGTGATTTCTGATTTTATCTTACTGGCCACCTTAATCTGCAAGGCAGGCTGGGATATGCAAATTATGTTTTAGTAATAACAGAAGTTTGATTCATAAGAGGAAAGTAGATATTAGGTGAGCAACTAAGCAGTTTGCCAATTTACAATATACTTGAAGCCCTTCCTTCCCTCCTTAGAAATAACAACCACGATATATATATATATATATATATATATATATATATATATATATATATATATATATATTTGATATATTATTCTCATGCATATTTTCTGTCTTTATAATATATGTTTGTATCCATGAACAATATTTCTGAATTTAATATGCTTTAAAACTATATGATGGAACATAGTGCACATATGCTGCATAGTTTGTTTCATTCAACACTGTTTACCCATGTTGATAAACACATTTCTGGTTTAACTGTTATATAGTATTCTGTCACACAGTTCATTTATCCATTTTCTTCTTGATATACATTTAAGTTTTATTTTTTATTTTTATTTTTTTTGCCATTACAAACAATGCTGCATTTGAAATTAAGTTATGCAACTTCTTTTATGCATTTGAAATTAAGAAGGGAACATAAGAAAGATTACATGGAGGTGGGAGAAATCAAGATAGGGATTGGATTACAGGGTAGTTAAGATTATGTGCTGTCTTGAGGGTTAATTAATACCCCCTTCCAGGGGTATTCGGGCATTTCAAAGGTGTGTTAACCTAGATACACCCCTTTTTCCTAACTTTAAAAAGAACACTTCTGTTACGGAACTGAACCGAATGAGGATCAACCCATCTGATACACAGCAAAGCCAAACACTGAACATCGAGGTTTTCAATGGAGAAATTAAAGCCGATGTATTTGTAGAGCACCAAGCAAGGCTAAAGGAAAGCTATCACTTAAAACTCGAACTCCCTGATGACTTTTAATCAGGGGTTTTTAAAGGCAAAGATTAAGGGTCAGAGGAAACAGGCTGTTGTGTAGAAGTGCTGGTGATCCAGTTTTTGATTGGAGAGCTTTGGAACTTGGCCCTTTATGGTAAGGGGCTTCAGCATCGGATCTTCCTTCACTTCTGAAAGGGTCCCAGTGTTCAATTTCCAACTGTTTACTGGTGCATTGGTTCTGTGAAATTTTGATTCTGGGTTCAGAACATTCTCCTCTGCGCATGATTCGGCTCAGCTTTATGATATGTGTTTTGGTCTGTTGCCTCTGAAAGGCAATGCAGTATCTTGTTAGAAACAGGAAAGGACAATTTTGAACTGGTTCTGCGGTTACATTTCTAACACGTCACCAGTATGTATTTTGTTTACTGTAGATTTGGGGCAGATATCCTTTACAAGGTCAACAAAGTTCATTCCTATTTCAGATTTGCCAGGATTTCTCTTGTTTTTGTTTTAAATATGAATGGGTGCTGGGTTATTCTATTTCACATGAAATTTAAGTCCCTCGCAACTGTGTAGTTCACTTACACTTCCATCCTTTGCTCTAATTTTGTCATGTATCACGTCTTTATATTAATAAATTTTACAATACAGAATTATAATTTTTGTTTTAATCAGTCATGTCTTTTAAGAAATCAAGAGAGAAAAATAGTCTTTTATATTCATATATTTACTATTACTGTAATCTTCATTTCCTTTTACAGATCTGAGTTTCCATTTGGTGTCATTTCCCTTCTGCCTGAATAACTTCCTTTAGCATTTCTTTTAGCATAGGTCTGCAAGAGATGAGTTGTTTTGACTTTTCTACCTGAGCCTGTCTTTGTTTCATGTAATGAGAAGTCAACATTTTCCTCTATGTATTGTATGTTGTTTTTCCTGTGGCTATTTTCACTGTACCCTTAACTTTCAGCAGTTTGAATATGATGTGCTCTAGGTGTGATTTTCTTTGCATTTGTCTTGCTTAAGGTTCAGTGGACTTAGATTTGCAATTTTATGTTTTCCCAAATTGTGTACATTTTTTTTTCTTTTTAAAGATTTTAGTGGGGAATTGGAAAAGGGAAACAGTGTTGGGGAAGGGGAACAGCCAAGTTGTTGTCCTTCAGTCTTAGTTGTGGAGGGTGCAGCTAGCTCAGCTCCAAGTCCAATCGCCATCAGGCCGCCCGTCGGCAGCTTGTGCCGCTCAGCTCAAGGTGCCCTGTTCAACCTTAGTTGTGGGTGGGCATAACCCACCATCCCACGTGGGAGTCAAACTGGAAACCTTGTTGTTAGGAGCACGTGCTCTCACCAGCTGAGCCATCCTGCCACCTGTTGACGGCTCAGCTNATATAATAGCATTTGTGTTGGGAAAATTTTGCTCATAGATGAACTTAATTCTTAAATTCTCTAAAGCCGAAATAGAGAAGTCGTTTGCAAAAATTTATCTTTTAGTTATGTTTCTATTGGTAATAGGGACAAATGTGCAACTGTTCAGTGTATGTAAGAAGGAAAGGAGGGATAACCCAAGTGTTTAGAGGTTTTAGATTACAATTTTGGGTTAGGTAGAATTTTTTAAAAATCATGCAGAAGATATGTTTTGAGTTATTTCAGGGACTTTTTTTAACAATTTACTTAACTTTCTATTGCATTGTTAACTTCCAAATTGCAGTGGGTTTTGTTTGGTTCTGAGAGCAGGAAGCACATCCTATAGTCTGCCCCCAAAGAGCTGAAAAAAATTCCGAGTAAAGGCACTTGGGATGTTTGTTATCTCCCAGTGTGGATCTTAACTATCATCAGTGCAGAAGGAATCTGAGACTAGGGGAAGACAGAATTGAAAGAGTGAAGCCTAGAATAGCTACTCCCAGAAACAAAAGGCAGGGGCCCAGAAAGTTGAGTAAGATCAGCAGGAGAGAATGCAGAACAACCACTAAAGTTATAAGCTAAGAAAAGAAGTTAAGTGGCTTGAGGGTAAAACCAAATAAGAGAGAAACCAAATTAGGAGAAAAAGAACAATCACAGATACAAACGAATGTATCAAATTGCTGACTAGTTAAGGAAAGGAAGAATATGTGTAGTTTTCAGTGCGTGGTACCTGTGATAAATCTATTAACTAGATTTCATGACTAGCTAGACCATTGTTTTTCTGTAACATACTAATATAATAACGGGTATTTTTTTTTCCACATGGTAGCTAAATATTTCAGGTTATTATCTTGGGCCAAAATCGACCCCCATCACTAATTTCTGTTTTTATTTGGTCTGTCGAACAAAATTTTAAACTTTTTAGATTTCAAAATGTCACTTAAGTTAATATCCAAGTAACATCAGACAGTGTTTAAGTGAAGTAGTTCTTCAAAGAACCTTCCTGTTTGCAATTGGAAAAGAAAAGTAAATTTCATCTTAGGGTGCTGTTGTCCTTTGGTATTTTTTTCTTCCTTCTCTTTTCCCAGATGATTGAGTTGTGGAGGAGGGAAAGTATGGCAGTGAGCTCTGGGGGATGTGAGGAGAAGGAAAAATAGGGAAAAGTGATTGACAACAGATATTTCCATTTAGTCTGTAAGTTGTTTTTGGTCTTTCTCATCCCTAGCCTAGAGCCAAGGGACTGTNTTGTCCCGTTGGTTGAAATTTGGTCACTTGAATTGGCAAGAGAAATAGAACAGCCGTGGTTGGCTTGGACCAATCAAGAATAGGTAGCCTAACAGCATGATCACCTGAATTCAACTGGAGGTCTAATGCTGTGAAAAACATGGGGGCTGTGGGCGGGATAAGGAACAAACAAGAGCTGCCACAGGTACTGTTCATGTGTCTTTGGCCTGCCCATCTGGAAAGTTATTGGACGTCAGTAATACTTTATTCATTGATTCACTCATTCATGTAATAGACATTAACTGAATGCTTACTTTGTGCCTGGTATCGTGCTCAGCATTGGGGAAGTAGACATGGTCCTTGCCCTTAGGGGGTGGCTGGCCTATAGTCCAATGGAATAGGGTAGCTGAGGTAAAGTGGGGGAGGATAGAGTTCTGTGATAAACTGATTTTAGGAAATTTATTTTTCAACAGGAGATGTGGGACATTTGGATTTGGGATACGAATTCATTTGAAAAACCACTTTGGGGTAAGTCGATAGCTGGGACTGAATGACTTTAGGGTTGCACGTCTACTTACATTGGTATTTGTCCTTGTAGCTCTGTAGGTTTCAGACTTTTGTTGATTGGACTTTTTGCCTCATATACAGACAAGAAAATGGCTTGAACTTAAAGTTCATTTTAGTAATTTGAGAAATTTAACTAGCATGGTCCATTGCTAATAAATTAGTCATTCCCTTCTCATTAGGGAGGTTAATTTGAAGACTAAATGAAGACCAGGTTTAGAAATAAAAAGATACTTATTATATAGGGTTTAACCTGTTTTAACTTACCAAATAATTCTGTCATGTGGACCGGAAATCACTCATAGAGCCAGTACTGAAGATACAGGGTTAAACTTGGTCTCTTAGCATCTCTTTCCAGTACTCCAAATGGCTGTTTGAATTCTCATTGCATCAGTACAAATATAAAAGGTTCCTGATTTTTTTGTTTCATCTAAGAAAATGCCTCTAAAAATACTATTTAATATTTACTGACTGTTTACTGTGGTATCTGTGTATTGTGCATTATCTCATTTAATTTAGTGTAATGACTATAAGGTGGGTACATTTTTCTCATTTAGAGGAATAAAGAGGCCCATGTTTCTACAAATAAAGTAATACTGCTAAGATTACACAGCTGATTAAGTGCTGGAATTGAAATTTGAACCCAAATTTGAATTTTAGCATTTGGCCTAGTAGACGTTCACTTTTGTTTTAATATGCTGAGTGTGTTGTACGTTCCCAGGACCAACCCCAGGTTCAGTGATTGGCTAGGAGGACTCACAGGATTCAGCATGTAGTCATAATAATAGCTAAGATTTATTACAGCAAAAGGATACAAAGCAGTGTTAACAAAGGGGAAAAGTGCATGGGGTGAAGCCTGGAGGAAACCATGCATAAGCTTCCATGAGTCCTCTCCCAGTGGCGTCACTCAGGGTGTGCTTTATTCCTCCAGCAATGAATTGTGACGACACATGTGAAGTGTTGTCAGCCAGGGAAACTCATTAGACTCAATGCCAATNGAACCCCTTCCAACCTGGCAACCATCAGTTTGTTCTCTGTATCTGAGTCTGTTTCTATTTTGTTTGTTTCTTTATTTTGTCCTTTAGATTCCACATATAAGTGAGATCATATGGTATTTGTCTTTCTCTGACTAACTTATTTCACTTAGCATAATACCCTCCAAAAGTCCATCCATGTTGTCACAAATAGTAAGATTTCTTTCTTTTTTATGTCCAAGTAGCTTCCATTGGATATATGTACCACATCTTCTAAAAATCCAATCTGACAACTTATCTTTTAATGGATACAGTTAATCATTTTATCTTTTGAGATTTATTCCTACCATTTCATTTTGTGCTTTTTATATTTGTGGGTTTTTTCTGATTTTAAATTTCCTTCCCATTTTCTTTTGAATTGATTGATTTTCTTATTCTCTCTTTTTTCAGCTTTAGTTTTTACATTACACGTTCTTTTTACTTAATTAGTTTACCTTTTAATTTTCAATAATATTTGATCCTAAAAAGTCTAAAGTCAATTAAATATGTCTACCCTATAACCTAAACACAACCAGCTTAAAATGCTTTAATTTCAGTTACCTTTATTCCTTCTTGCATGGTATTTTCTGGTATTTTCTTTCATTTAACAAATAATTTTGAACTCTTCTACCATGTATCAGGTACTATTCCAGGTGGTGTAGTAATAACATTAAACAAAATAAAGTCTCTGCCTTCATGAAGCTTACAAGATAATTAATAAACTGATTAATATATATTATGGTATATATTAGTATTTGGTGCTAGAATGGAAAATAAAGCATTAGGAAATGACAAAGAGTGACCCTGAGGTGGGGATGTTTTGTATATGAGTTTCGGCTGTCTTCAGACATTTCATAAGATTTTTAGGGCTCAAGTATGAGAAAACATAATTTTCATTCTAGAGGAGCTTGTAGTCTAACCAGAGAGTCCCTAGAAGAAGATACAGATATGGGAGCCATTGTCACATGGTGGGTGAAGCTTTACAACTGGTGAATTTCCAAGGTGTGTGTGTGTAGAGTGTCAAGCAGCCTAAGGGCA